GACACCACACTCATCGGCCTCATTCAGGACGGTGACGAGTCTGCTTACAGTCAGGAGGTTAAAGAGCTGGCTGTCTGGTGCAGTCTCAACAACCTGTAGCTCAACATGCTCAAAACTGTGGAGATGACCGTGGACTTCAGGAGAAACCCCCCTGCACTCCCCCCACTCACCATCATGGACAGCACTGTGACTGCAGTGGAGTCATTCAGGTTCCTGGGCACCACTATCTCTCAGGACCTGAAGTGGGACACTCACATTGACTCCATTGTTAAAAAGGCCCAGCAGAGGTTGTACTTCTTTCGACAGCTGAGCTTTCAACCTGTCACAGGAGCTGCTGAAACAGTTCTACACTGCCATCATTGAATCTGTCCTCTGCACTTCTATAACTGTCTGGTTCAGCTCAGCTACCAAATCTGACCTCAGAAGACTACAGAGGGTAGTCCGGACTGCTGAGCAAATCATTGGTCCAACCCTCCCTTCTTTTCAAGAACTGTATCACTCTGGACCCCTCACATCCAGCACACTCCCTTTTTGAACTGTTGCCATCTGGTCGACGCTACAGAGCACTGAGCACCAGAACGGCCAGACACAGGAACAGTTTCTTCCCTCAGGCAATCCATCTCATGAACACCTGACAATAACTGTGGAACACACACTATTTATTCACTCATACACTTATTTATCTAACACACATACTCAGTCTACATTTCAATTTGCACATAATATACGTGTACATACAACTGTCTATTGTTATAGACCTCTACACATAATTGTCGATTTGTATATTTTTATTCTTTATTTACTTATTCTATTTTTTCATTTATTTTTTTATTATCTGTGTTTTTTGTTTTGTCACTGTCATTCTGTTACACTGTGGAAGTGGGGGCCGCAGTCATATTTCAGGGTGACCGTGCCACTCTTTATCACAACCCTGCTAAAAGTGCCAGTATGTGCGCTCATTGGCACCCCTTCAGCTGGTGGTGCCCTAGGCGACCACCTAGCTCGCCTATGCCTAGAAACGGCCCTGGATACACATGCGCATGACGTCACAGTTTTCACAAATTCACGTTTTTGTAGTTTACACAGAAATGATAAAGGTATAATTTTCAAAACCTTGTATTTTGAAACCCATTTTCAAAAGTTTGATTTCAGGCCCACAAAACAGTTGTCATGTAAATGAATGACCAAAACACATGTTTTTAGTTGAAAATGGTGTCATGTAAACAGCCCTCTAATATGATAATTAAGTGATTAACTGAGTGATGGTTGAGCATTAGTTATGAACACCTGCTGTTAACAAGCAGAATCACTGAAGGAAAGAGAAACATCAAGAGACGAGATGAGCAGAAACACGAGAACTACAACCACAGCTTTAGATGAAATCAACTGAAATAAAAGACGACATTAAATTTCTCAGGATTAAACAACTGTACACACAGTATCACCAGCTTCACTCATAACTAACCAGATTGACTTTATTTCTGTCAGACATCTACAGAAGTTCTTATTGAGAACTAACAGAGTTTTTTTTGGATAAAGCACTATACAAATAAGGGTGTAGATGCTGATGATTTATTGAAAATAAAAACGTTTAAACTTACCATTATGGTGATTAGTGTTTAGATTTGTTGGGTTCTTGACTTTTGAATGTTAGCTTTTCTCTGTGCTATAATTTGCTATTGACTGCTCAAATGCAGAGTTTGGTGAAGTGTAAAGTATCACATATTGTTTGTCATTCTTACGATTGCAAGTGCAGACAGAGATGGATTTATGTTTACTAACGTAGTATCCTCTGTGCTCTGCTTATAACTGGTGGCAAAAAGATGACAAACATGATTCA